TGCCTGATGAACTTCGACCTGAAAACCAGGTGACAGAGGAGGAGTTGGACCAACATGATTCAGGTGAAGCTTGGGATGGACCTTTGCCCAGTGTTTGACAACCGTGCCAACTTGGTGGTGAATGATGTGCCAACTTGGTGGTGAATGATGTCGACCTGCCAGACAACAGCAGCTTGGCAACCCTCAGGAGCGCAGCCGAGTACTTGGGGCTAGGCACTGGTGGTTCAAAGAAGACTCTATGGCACAAGCTCAATCAGCAAGTCCAGAAGCTTGAACATCAACAGCTCTTCACATCAGCCAACAGGTTGTACAAGGAACAGAACAAACACAAAGGTTTGGTGCAAGTGGCAATCCCTCGACAGCCTAGCCAGCAAGAACGTGAACTTCATGAGCTAGTACACCTACCATACCAGTCTTGGTGTGACGTGTGTGTTTCTTGCAAGAGTCGAGCAGACGCCCAAAGACCTTTGGACTTGTCAGAGGAAGAGCGGCGAACGTCTCCTTCAATTCAGTTGGATCATGGTTTTGGAAGATCAGAAGGCAAGACCGCTAGCCAAACAGCTCTGACGGTCGTGCTTGTTGGTGTGGATTGTGAAAGCAGGATGTTGATGGCCATGCCAGTTGAGAGTAAAGACGAAGTTTTCACTTGCCATGAATCACTATGCAAAGCTGGAAGTGGTTGGAGACAGCGAGCCAACAATGAAGAGCTAGCTGACCTTGGTGAAGACTCTTCGACAAGGCCTTGGACTTGAAACCGTGTTAACTTTCAGCCAAAGAAAGGCCAAACTGGCCGTGTGGAAAGGGCAATCCAGACATTGAGAGGGCAAGCTTCGACCCGGGCCTATGTTCATGCAGCCTGGGTGCTCAACCGCTTCAGCGCCCATCGAGCAACACAAATGGCACCTTTTGAGCTGGCTTATGGCAGGCGCTATGTTGGAAAGGTTGTGTGTTTTGGGGAGTACGTGATGGTGCTCAGCAGGCAGCCTGGATTGAAACAAGGACCACAATGGATTCCAGGTATTTGGGTTGGAAAGACCGAAGAAGATGACCTGCGTATGGTGGTGGCTTGTTCAGGCTTGGTTCGAGGCAAAGCAGTCAGGCGGACAGGACAACCATGGAGATCCGTCTACCTTTTCATGGTGAAGGAGAAGCCCTATAGGAACCCAAACACACGAAGACCTTTGCGACTTCTACCTATGACTCCAATGATTCCTCGTGGAGTTCGAGGACCTGGCAAAGGACATGGACCTGACCGAGATGGCGGAGGTGAAGACAAACCTGATGGTCCTTCCAATACCCAACCAGGATATAATGATGTGAGAGATCAAGACGCAGATGATGTGATGCAATATGCTCGAGATCATCCTGGTGGCACTCCAGTGGACACGAAGAGAGAAGGTGGAGTGAAGCGTGGTGGGGGAGAACAGAACAGCCGGCGTCCAAGTTTCTTCGAGTACCTCCTCTACCTATGGGCATGGACGAAGATTATGCCATTGGAAACAAGGCTCCTGTGACACCAGATGTGAAGATCCCTTCAACATCGACCTCAAGTAGACCACAAGAGATGTTGGATGACGCTGCAGAGAAGGAGCCAATGCCAAAGATCCCAAGAGTGAGCAGCGCAGAAGGCAGTCCAACACACCTCTATACACCTCACTATGCTGGTGGTGTGAACCGTGTGGAAAAGGAGCTTCATCCCGTCGATGAAGAGCAGTGGGAGATGGAGGTGGAAGACTTCTTGAACGATGAGCAGGAAGCAGAATGGACCATGGTGGAACTTGACACCGTGGACGAAGGACAACCTCCACAAGTGGATGAAGAGACCATGAAAGAGATCGAAGCAGCTGCAGGACAAAAAGAAATTAGCAGACTCTTGACCATGGGAGTCTTCAGAGAGCCTACACACCAGGAGGTGGAACAAGGAGAGATCTTGACGACCAGATCAGTTTATGACTGGCGCTTTCGTGATGGCAAATGGAAGAGAAGGTGCAGATTTGTTGCAGGAGAGTTCAAAGGAAATGATGTGTCTTCCTCAAAGACCTTTGCACCAACATCTTCAATAGCAGCAACCAGACTGGTGCTTGGTACCCACGTGATTTTGAAATCACGTGATTTTGAAATGGCACCTGTGTTTCTTGGACATCAAAGATGCTTTTCTGTTGGTGGTGGAACAACCTACGTGGTGGAAGGCAGAGGAAGGCACGGCAAGTGATGGACAGCGACGTTTTTGGACTCTGGCCAAATGTCTCCCAGGACAAAGAGACGCAGCAGCAAGGTGGTTTGATTTCTTGAGTGATCACCTTCGAGACCTAGGATTCCAAAGCCACATGAGTTTGCCTTCGCTCTTTCGACATGAAAGCAAGCAGATTGGTGCAGTTTGTCATGTGGATGATTTGATCGTGGCTGGAGAGCTTCAAGATCTGCAATGGCCCATGGCTGCTAAACAAGATGAAAGGCAAGTTTGTGCTGAGTGAATCTGGCATCCTTCCTCGAGATGGACAGCCTGCTGATGAGGCCGTTCGATGCCTGAAGAAGAGGCATTTCTTCACCAAAGAAGGCCTGGTGATAATGCCACATGAACGATATGTCCCAGGACTTTTGGAGTTGTACAATCTCACCAACCGAGCAGGCAAAGCGACTCCAGAAAGCGCACAAGTTGATTTGGAAGGAGGTCCAGAAGACAAGCTTCAAGGTGGAGAGCAACATCGCTTTCGTTCGGCGCTTGGCACACTCCTGTACATCTCTCAGGACAGGATTGACATCCAGCACTGCGTCAGAAACCTGTCACAATTCATGGCTATGCCTACCAGGAAGGCTGAGACAGAGCTCAAGCATGTGATTTGCTACTTGAAAAGGACCGAGAACTACGGCCTGTTGCTTCCTTACACCAAGAACAAGAGCAAGAAGGCTGAAGTGAAGAGCAAGAAGGCTGAGTTCTTGGCGGCAGCTGGAGGTGCAGCAGAGTCCATCCAGATCAAAGACCTCTGGCAGTTTCTCAGCAAGCGTGAAGTGAAGATTCGACCCATCACAGACAGTACCTCTTGCAGAGCTTTCACAGAGCGGCTTGGAGTTGGGAGGTTGAAACACATTGACGCCCGTTATTTGTGGATGCAGCTTGAAGTCAAGAAAGATGTTCTCACAATGGCTGGCATCCCGACGCTCTGGAACGTTTCCGATTTGGGAACGAAGAGGCTGACAAGGCAGAGGAGAGAATTTCTCATGTACTTGATTGGTGAGATGGAGATGAAGGCTGAGAATGGTGATGAGATCTTCGCCCCAGTTGGAGAGGATTCCTTCAACGAAGTGGTGAGCAAGAAGTTGATGGCCAGACGAATGAAGGCAGTGAAGGGCGAGATGATCAAGAGCCTGATGGATGAGTCCAGTGGAGCCAAAGTGAAAGTACCGACAAATATGGTGCGTGCAGTGACACTTTTGTTGCTTCAGCCTGGCCTGCTTGGCATGGTTGGCAACAATGAGACCACCGAGGAGGAGATGAAGGTTGACTATATCAGTCACTTGTGGTATCTTCAGTGGTTCTGCGTCTACAGCATGTTCATTTTCATTTTGGACATGTATGTTGGCTACAAGTACCGGATTCGACTTAGCATTTTGGTTCGTACTGCCGTGCGCTTTTTCAGACAGGAGATCACCATGGAGATGCAGAGGCAGAATGATGAGAGAATGTTCAGAGAAGGCATTTTGCAAGAAGTCCGTGAACAAGAAGTTCGAGACAGAAGAAGTGGAAGAGATTTGCTTTTGAGAGCTCAGATGTGGTCTGCTGCAGGTGGGGAATGGAGGTATGAAGGTCGCACTACCTTTCCAGACAACCCACTTCAACCTGCAGAACCTGACCGGCAACTGCAAGTGGAATTGCAGAATGAGCCAAGGACTGAGCCAAGTGAAAGCCAAGAGCGAGATGACGACTACGAGTGGATGGGTGAATGGACAACAGATTGGGACCCAGTACTCCAACGAATGAGGGAGTATCGAATCCTGGAAGGATCTGAAGATGCAGAGAGTGGTGAGGAATACTTCACCGGAAATGAAACGACAGGGCTCTACAGAAGATATCGACCAACAAGGTCCGAAAGAGAAGCACCACAGAGTGGAACAGAGCAGGAGAACCCCATCATGAATGAAAGCCAGAACACGGATGTGGACATGGAGGCCAATGATGGAAGAGAACATCCAGGAGGAGTCTGGTCAGACTACGACCGACGTGAGCCACCAAATGATGCCAATTGGGACGACCTCGAGACCATCTACAAGTACTTGCCACCAGACGAAGAACGACGAGGACGAAAAGGTCAAGAAGCTGGAATTTTTCCAGTCAACTTGTTGAAAGAATTTCTACAAGCTCGAATATCCCAGATCCATGGACGAAATGACCCACGATCAGCATTCGACCATGTGCTCAAGTGGAATGCTGATGAGAAGAGAGACTTCGCAAACTTTGCGATCATGGTGATGAGTGGGCAGTGGGAGATCAACTGGGATGAGCATGTGAGGCGCTACTTCGACGAAGGTGTGGCGTAAAAAGTGCCACTAGCGTATCACTTTTCAGGTGGGGTGTTCGGCATTTTGCATAGAAGAGCACCCACATGTCCAGACACTTTGTTCATGAACTTAACCGGCCGATGAGTGGCCCAAGACTAGCTTTGGAAAACGGGCGCACTGCGTTTTTCTTCGCGAACAGAAAACCTCCTTCGTCTAAACAGCCTGAAGTGGAAACGCAGGGTGAGTGCACGTAGAGCTGACGTGAAGTGCACAAAACACTGTCGAGATCCCAAAGAAGTTTCCAACGGGCTCCAACCCATTCTCGTTGCATCACTCCCTTGCAGCACGCAGAGTTCCAGCTGTTTCCACTACCTGTGCAACCGTTCAGTGTGCTGCCCACACAGTCGCAAGGGGTATGGGATTTTGTTTTCTTAAGGCAAGCGCGCGTGCAAAGCAGCGCAGGGTTTTAGATGCCCTCCCCTGTTTGCCTTTCTCGTGAACAGATGGGCTTCGGAATCGCTGCCTTGGACGAGATCAACCGTCGCCTCCTCCAGGTGCCGGTAACGGTTTCTTTCTTCGTTTTGTGGGTCGTAATGGCCAACCGTTCCCGTGCTTTGGGAAACGTCACGAGTTTTTTGAAGGTTTGTTTCAAGACGCGACTACTCTATGTCCTTTCGGCGTAGGTGGTGTGCAGCTTTCAAAAACGCAATTTGGTGGTCATGGAGGACCGAAGAGCCAACTGAAAAACATGTACAGTCCGCGTGTGTTTGACTTGAACGACCAAACCAGGTGAAAGCGAACTTGCTCAAGTCAGACCGCAAAGAACTCACTGCGCGCAAGGGCCTCAAGGGCCTCAAGGGCCTTAACAGCCCAAGGGAACAATTCGCAGGATCCTTTTCTTTATTCCTTGTTTCTAATGGCAATGGCCGCCAAACTAATAGAGATGTCCTCCAAGCTAATAGCAACGGGTTCCAACCAAATAGCGATGGCCTCCAACCTAATAGCGATTGCCACCAACCCCCAAAGCGATGGCCACCAACCTAAAGGCGATGGCCTCCAACCTAATAGCGATGGCCTCCAACCTACTAGCGATGGCCTCCTGCCCAACAGCAAACTATACTGCAATGAACTCTTCGGAAAAAAAATAAATTTGGCATTTGGTCGTCACACGGTGCCTTGCCCAGGCTGGCCTGGCTTCAAGCGCGTTGCAGCAGTTGTGGTGGGCGACCCGCCGGTTTCCTTTAAGTCCTTCAGCCAGGACTTCCAATTAGGTTTCAACGGTTTGAAAAGGATCGAACAACAAATCACAATTTTTTGAGATCAACTCCCCCGTTGGGTTGTTTGAGAGAATGAGGATTGAAAGCGCACTGTTTCAGCCTGCAGGAAGCGATGTTGCGGATGAAACAGGAGGCCTCCTGTGTTCCTTTTTCTGTTTTGATAGTTGTTTTGATACATTCTTGTGACGTCATAGATACATGTTTTGACGCATGCTACATGTTTGTTGTTCCAAGAGTATGATTCTTGCATAATTTTCCCTGCCAAGATGTAAGACGTTTCGACAAGCGACATCATTCCTCCAAGGCGTTGACTGCAGAGTTCAAAGCCAAAGCTCAAGAGGAACAAACTTGAGCAATTTCAAATCCAGTGTCGAATATCGCTACTAGTAACAAGTGCATCGCTACTAGTAACAAGAAGCTATTAGTAACAAGTGCCTTACTAGTAGTAACAAGTGCCTCGCTTCTAGTAACAAGTGAACAAAGGCGTTGGTGTTTGGCCCTGTTTGGCACTGTTTGGAGTGTGGTCCAGGAGAGGAAGAAGGCTTCTGACAAGCCACTGGACCCTGACGACGAGGTCGAAACGAGACACTGGCAATTTCGGAAAAACGGCAATTTCATGGCGTTTCTTTTTTTTCGTTTCGGACCGAGGCCAAAAAGGTCCAAGAGACCTTGAAAAGGAAAGCGGACTTCGAACGGCGGAAACGCGAGGAGCGAACACAGTGGGAAGAGGAGTGTGGAAAGGACAAATACGTTTTTCTCGGGTAAAACAGAAAAAGGAAGACAACATGGTCTCTACTTTTAAGTCTTCGCCGACAATTTGTCAAAAAAACAATCATTGATCATGTCGCCAGTGTACCTTGGATCAAGCTAGGGTCATGTCTACTGGAGAAATAATCAAGAGGAATCAAGAGGTTGTGGAGAGGTTGCGCACCCCTCAATTAATAATCAAGATGAGCTGGGCCATCCATTGTCCTCATTCGTTTAAGGTGGTCCATGCTCTTTTTGGCGCCTGAATCTCAAATGCATATGTATGTGTTTGAACCAAAAGAACCAGGCAGGAAAGTTGCCACCACACTGAAGATCAGCCACCGGAAAGCATAGGTGTGGGAAAGTGCAGGGATGCACCACCACCCCTCAAAAAACCAGGCAGGAAAGCAGTCACCAAGGAGGAGTTGCGAGATGTTTGGATTACTGGATGGGGGTTTGCCACCTGGGGAGTGGAAATTCCTTGAGGGGTTTGTGAGCAGTCTAGTAGTCGATGAGTTTGGGGCCCCCCGCAAGAAAAATCTACAAATCATCAATTGAGGGGTAGAGGTATCCTCGATTAGTTTCCACACAAGAGGTGGTAGGTCCCTCAACAAATCTTTTTAAATAATTGAGGGGGCCCCCACCAGGGCTCCATCTAATGCCGGGGTCATGAAAAAAACAACATCGACCAGGAAAGGAAAAGTTGAAAACTGTAAAATTTAAAGATATTTTTTGTCTCTAAATCTCTATTGCTTTGAAATTCAGTTTCCCTGAAAATGACGATGGGGGTTCCCGCCCTCAGGCGGGGAGAGCTTCCTTGAAGCGTGAGCTATCCAGCGTTCAGTTACTAGCTTTAGTGGCTAGGAGCGAACTTCTCCCTTTCTTAATTAAGTAGGCGCCTACATAATTTAGGAGGCAGGGCTTCAAATTATGTGCAACAATCTCCTTCGACTTCCACCTTTCCGCACATCCGTCGCCTTGTCGACTCCTTGTTGCTGAGAGTAACAGCAGCACCGTTTTGGATCGTCGGGAGTCTCTAACAATCAATGGCCACCAACCAAATAGCAATGGCCTCCAACCTACTAGCGATGGCCTCCAACCTAAAAGC